CCCGGCCCCCCCGGCCGCCGCGCCGCCTGCTTGGCCTAGTCTTCACGGGCCTGCCCAGGCCAGCATGTGTCTCCTGCCTTCCCACGCCTCCCTCGTGCGCTCTCTTCCCGCTCCGGCCGCAGGTGCCCGAGCAAGGTCGGGCGCGCGGTGCAGCCCCCGCTGCTCTGCACCCCCCGCTGCTCTGCACCCGCTGTCGGAGAGGGCCGGAGATGGGACCGAGCTAGGCTGCGCTCTCGGCAAGAGAGACTGTGTAACACCGCCCCCCCCTCCCCCGCCCGGGAGCAGGCGGAAAAGCCGGCAGCCCCACTCTCAGCTATATTTGCCCAGCTCAGTCCAAGGCCTCAGCGCCTGGCGCACGGGGACTGCGGGGAGCGGGGGTGACACTTGGGAAACTTACTTGGAGGAGAGGAGTGGGAGGACTTTGCAAACCAAGGGCTGGGCTCTCTCTCACCCGTGCTTTCGGCCGTCGCCGGAAGCTGCTGCTTGCTCCGCCGCTCCGATAAGTCTTGGCCAGGTTCCCCCGCGAACCCGGTGCTCCGGCCCGGGGCAGGGGGTGCTTCGGGGGCAACTTCCGTAGACTGCTGGTGCGTCCTGCTGCTCCTGGGGCCTGGTTTGCCCTCCGAAATGAGTAGGGACTCCACACTGAACGGTAACAGGGAGCTAGAGGAGACTTGATCCCTGCACCCCGGCGCTTTGCAGTTCACCCGGGGCGGGTCCTCCTCGGCCAAGGGGTTCCCCCGAGGGGAAGCGGCGGCCGCTTCTCTGCTGGTCTCGTCGTCGCTGGCAGTCTCCGGGCTGAGTGACCTGTGGGCGGGATTCATTCTGAGAGAAGACGGGGCCATAAAACTCTGGCAGGGGCGAGGCGGTCGGATGAGGTTCAGGCCCCGGGGTCTGGCATCGGGTCTCTAAGGCGTGGGGCGGGCGCTGGGGCCCCGCGCTCCATGCTCGGGGCAGGCCGGGAAGGGGGTCCGAGCTCCAGCTCGCTTCCTCCCAACTTTAACAGCTCTAAAAGTTCTGCCGCTCCTCTTTCATCTAGCCGTCCTCCAATCGGAGCGCCCCCTGTAGCCCATGACGTGCGCGCAGGAGGGGCTGCCATTGGCCGGGGCGCCCTGGGGCCGGGGCTGTCTGGCCCGGGAGGATGAGGGGCAGTTATTGATGGCTGCGGGGCCGCTTTCTCCCGGGAGCGCGGAGCGGCCAGAGCAGTTTCAGCGCAATTGCCCAATGGGGCAGCAGCGCCCTCTCCCCCGACGGCGGGGCGCTTATTGGAACTATGCGGGATGGAGGGAAGCAGGCAGAGGGGCCCCCCATGAGGTCCGCAGGCTTGGCCGGTCGATTATACCCCCAGCATCCGAAGAAGTAAGATGCCCTTTCCAAAGTTTATGCATCTCTGAATTACTTAATCTAGAGTGTGCAAAATGACCCTGCCTTATAGCCTTTCCAGCCTTTGGGCCCCCAGTGTCCCTCTCGGCTGGAGGGGAGGGGGTCGGATAGCACGGATCATCCCCCACCAGTGCAAAGCCAGCAGCTGCCCAGCGCACCGCGTATCCCAAACCAGGGCCCGGCGCCTCGCCCCCCCAACTGCTGCTCTGGAGGCTGGGAATTATTCATCTCCTCCCCCACCCCCTTCGGTTTTCTTGAACTTTGCTGCGACTTTCAGGCTCCTGCTATACTTATCAGCGTAATCGCTAATTTATTACAGCCAGCCCAGCCTTTCTGCTGCTCAACCCGTCCTGGTCCTTTCAGGTTTTTGCTGCTTCAGTTGAGAAGCGCCAGGCCATTCTTCACCATAAGTCAATGCATTTAATAAGGCAGACAAGTTATGTTTTGGAAGGCGCCAGGCACGGCAGGATCAAAAGGGGAAGCTACCTCTGGGAGAATAGGCAACAGTTAAACTCCGCTTAATTGTCCTCAACATTTCACGTCTAGCGCAGGGCTGAGAGGGCCGCGGACGCAGAAGCGGGGCTCTTTATGGGCTGTTAACTGTTGAACTGCTGGAATGATTGGGAAAGCGGCTCCGTCCGGCCGTATCGCAGCTGGGGATGCCGTGGCTACAGGAAAGCATCGAGGTGCATTTAAAGATAGTGAGGAGGAGACACTGGGGCTCTGGCCGCTCCAGCTTTGGGGTTTTCTTTCTTTTATCCTTTCCCTTGGCGGACCAGGGCCCAGCGCTTCCGCACTTGCTGTCGTCCCTTCAAGGCCGTTTGCCTAGAGGGACTAGGGAGGCCGCCAGCTGCCCAGCCGCTGCAGAAGGGTGAGTGCACTGATGTCGCAGTGTGACCACTGGTGTCGTTTTAGGGACCCGTGTCGAGCCGCCCGAGGCCGCAGGAGCGGCGGGCAGTGGGCACTGAGTGGATCACTGAAGCTGTCCGGGGGACGTGTCCCCGCTCCCGCCGGCGCCCGCCGCGGTCCCTAACTCACAAGGCATTTCGTGGGCGGCGGTGCCAGATTCAGGACAACCGGCCCTATTTCCAAGACAGCATGCGCGCCCCTGCCCCCTTTGGTCAGAGAGTCCAGCGGGAGCTCACGCGGCCCCTCCGGCCGAGAAGGAGCGCGGCTGGCCTTTCCGCCGCCCCCCTCTCCCCGGCCGCGGCGGCCGCCACAAGTCAGCTCCGCGGAGATCCCGGCGGCGATCCGGAGGCGGTGGTGGGACAGGAGCTGGGGCTGGAGGAGGCCCGAGGGCCGCACTATGTCCGCGGTGGAGAACGGGGGAGGCAACAGGCGCTTCTCGAGGGCCCTGCGGGCGCGACGAGTGTTGGCAGCTGCGGCTCGGCGGGCTCTTGGAAAGCACGCACCTGGCGGGGCTGGGCAGCGCGCTGGCTGCGGCGGGGCCGTGGCACGGACGTCCCGACGCCTCTCCCCTCTCCACCCCCAGCCCGAATTTGACCCCGGGAACAATGCGGATCGAAGCCCCCCCCGGGCGGAGAGAAGGGGCAGCAGACGGCTTCGGCAGGCCTGCCGGGGGGCCGCAGCCAGCCGCGGGGCAGGAGCTCCTTCACTGAGCTGGGCTGAGCACGCCCGCTGCGCTCCGGCTGCTCGGGCTCCGGGCCGGACCGGGCCAGCCAGGAGCTCAGAAGGAGCCGCGAGACCCGGGCTGCCGCGGTTCCGCTTCGGTCTAGCTGTCTGGCCGGCTGGCAGCGGCTCTCGGCCTGGGAGGAGGAGGCAGGGATCGGGCCTGCTGCCCGGAGAGGAGCCGCCTCCTCCGGGGACACGCTCCGCAAGCTCCCCGGAGCCCCCGAAGCGTCCTGTGAGCTACGCCTTGGTGACACGGCCGAGGGAGGCCGCGAGGTCCCGTTGTCCGGGCAGGTCAGACTTCTGGGTTGGGTTGCCGTTAACCGGAAAGCGACCGGCGACCGGGCGAGGGGCTGCTGCCACAGCAGTGTAACGCGCCAGACAAGGAGTCCGCGACCACGTCGGATCACAGGGCTGATCTGTGCCGGCAGCCGGCCCAGGGCGCTACTGGGTGTTACGGGCTCCGCTTTCCGGGGAGGAAGATCCGCAGAAGGGCAGTGCTGAGGCCGAGCGGCTGAGCGGAGAGAAGCAGCAAGGAGCGCCGGGGCCACCGGAACCGCCCCGCCCCGCCCCGGGGGAAGGTGCCTGGAAATCCAGGGGTTCCGCGGGAACCCGCTGCTGAGAAATTTGGAAGCATTCGAGAGCTGTCGGGCAACATTTTGTTTTCATTTCAATAGAGATCCCCGGAGAAAGAAAACGAGACAGCGAGCTGCGGGACTTGTCCTTCGCTTACGGAAATACTGTCAGGTCCGGGCTGTGGTTTTGTGAGCACCACGTGTTCCTGTTATTTCAGAAACATGCTCGTTAATTATATCCAGATCGGGCTGAAGGTTTTTCGTTTCCTCATTTATTTAGGAATCGCTCAGCAACGTCGAAGAGTATCGGTGAGGGGATCCTTTGGCAATGGGAAGGCAGCAGCCAGCGCGGGCCAGCTGGCCGGGCAGGACCCGCCTCCGCCTCAGCTGGGACAGTCTTTGCCTTGGAGACACTTTAAAGATGGTCTACGGCGCGGGCAGATAATTGTATCATTAACATCGTTTCTTTGAAGTCAGGGATTATCTGCATCTAGTTTATCAGTTGCAAACTTCAGCCTGTTCTTGTGCCACGAGTGACAATAAATATGATTTGTAGGTGGAGACGGGGTCTGATTTGACATACGACTATACAAATGGATCAGTAAATACAAAACAGGAATGTGTATGTGTGCGTATACACTCATTTAGTTGGTCTAACAAACGATAACGCCTCTACCCCAAGAGTTTTGTCTGCCTATCCTGTATGCACGCACGCAAGGGCCCCTGTAACGAGGACAGTTCTTTACATCCACGATTTAGGTGGAGGGATTTTTTTCTTTAGAAACCTGCGGTGGATACATACATTTATGGAGAGACGAATCGGTGCACATGAACTCCCCCGAAACGAGGGGGTGCAGCTCATCGCGCTTCTGCGAGGGCCACGCAGACCGGGATTCGTGAGAGAAACGGCGGAAAGACTTTGCTGTCGCTTCTTCTACGGCGGAATCGCCTAGGACTCCTCCACCCCGGCCGAGGAGACAATTCGCTTTTGAGGTATTGATTGTTGTTATTGATATTAGCGCTGGCGTTATCGCTTTTGGCGCATTTACTACGATTACCATTATTATTACTGCTGTTGTTTGTTTGTTGTTTTTATATGTGACGCTAATTAATGATCAGTAACAATAACAGTTAACCACGACACATTACTACCTCTGTTAGCTTGTTAGCTATACTAACAATAGTACTGCGCTTCCGATGCTGGCACGGAATCAGGCCTCCCTAGACCCAAGAGAAGCTGGCAAGTGGGAGAGGATCGGGGCAAGAAACCCGCTTTCTACCGCTGTGTGACACAGGGCACTGAGCAAGATGGACCTGATATTCTGACTCGGTGAAGGGCAGCTCTCCTGTTCTTCTAGAACAGATCACCGCCTATTACGAAGCAGCAATGCCCCGGTCCCAGCCATGCCTGCGGAGCAGGGAGCGGGTGGCGGTTCCGAAGGAGGAGGATGCTGTTGCGGAGCGGAGCGGGGTGCGCCGAGCGCTGGCTGGGCTCTGCCCGTGGGCTCTGCCCGTGCAGAGACCCTCGCCCTTCCTGCTCGAGTTGGTTGGGGTCGGCTGAGATCCCCACGCTGGGGATCAGGGGCGACGCTGCTCAGCCGAGCAGGTGCCCGCAGCAGCCCCAGGCGCTCTGCCTGCCGGCCGGTAGACAAAAAAAACGCTCCTGAAGTCTGCGTGGCCCCTTTGGCCGTGGCTGTGCCGGGCCCCCTTGGAGATCCCGGCGCAGCGGCGCAGGCTTTGGGGCTTATCGCACTCGATGAGACGCTCCTCCCGGGGCAGCGTCTCCCCCGGGGCGCGCGGCGGCCCCCGGCCCCCAGGCGTGGCCCCGGCGGCAGGTCCGGGGGGGCGATGGAG